AAATAAATTTCAGTGTTATCTTGTTTAATTCCATAAAAAAAATTTTATTTAATTTGATTGGAATTGTCTGGAATAGATATAGAAATTTTGGCAGAATATTCATCTTAATCAGAGCAATCCTGCCCAATAAGGAAAGTTGTAATGTACTCCAGGAATCTAAATCTTGCTTGGATTGTTGGAGAAGTTTGTCATAGTTGTTTTCTTTTAATGATTTGCTTTGTGGAGTAAGCCAAATTCCTAAGTATTTAATTTTTTTTGTCACCTGTATTCCCATTAGCACCTTTGAGTTGTTTTTCATGGAAGGTGTTCCTATATGAGAGTTGGGGAGAGGACATGGTTTGAGTCTGGATCAGGGCAGCAGTTTTCATTTTTGCTGAAAGAAAGATCTGCCTTATTCACCTTTGTCAATGAGGATACTATCTCTGTGTTTCCCAACAGGAATACTTGCTGTCTGTGAACGTTAAACTTTTTACTTCATCCATCAGCCATGAAGATCTATCCTCTGTTATTTTTGACTCTCTTTCTGAAAGGTGTAGTTGGTCCAGGTTCAAAAATCAGCAATCTTTAAGCACACTGCAATACATTATATGTAGCTATATTAATATAGTCACAGTGTGTGAGATGGAATTATGCTAGATATTAGGAATGTAAGTCACCTAATAGTTGGGTTGGAAAATATATAAACCAGGAAAGTCGTTTTAATACTGTCTCTTTAAGAGAATGCTAAAACTGTAATTGGGTGTGGTTCCTCAAATGGCCATAAGATGGAGCCAGAAACCTGGCTTGTTCTTCTGTTCTGTTTTTCTGGAGAGTGTTGCGTTCCTGTATTGACTATTATTCTTGGATTTGATGTAAGTCTGTTACTGAACTGTTTTTGATACTGGACTTTGATATTTGGATTATCCCTGGACTGAAAACAGACTACTTTAACTGTGAATGACTTGCACTGCTTGTTTGGATTTTGCTTAAACGTTTATTGGAAGTAAAAACTTACATTTTACCATACAGTGTATCTGTGTGCTAGTTGTATATTATTCTTCACTACTCTCACTACGTCTCCCTGTATGCGCTCATTCTCCTAACGGGGAATTACCTCAACACTGGTTATAGGCCCAGGCCATACCAGGCTCAGATAACTGAGAGTTGGTGTGAATACACAGTAATGTATACAGACAGCTGTTTACTGTTTAATTATGGGTTACTATCCTGGTAAAGATGGCACAAGACACTTCAACAAGTCTATCACTGATAACCCGGTTGGATGGAACAAACTATGTTTCCTGGTACATGAATTGCAGTCTACTTCTGCGTAGAGAAGGTTTATGGAATGTAGTTCAAGACCCACTAGATGTAAATGCTTGGGATCCAGAAAATGAGGACGATGCCAAGAAGCTTGCTGACTTTAAACAGAACAACGAACGAGCTCTTTGTATAATTGGACAAACACTGTGTGACCAGCAGCTAGTCCATATTTGTGGAGAAGAGTCTGCTGCTAAGTGTTGGGAGAATTTGAAGAGGATTTATGTTCATGACAGTGTAGGTGCACACATACATCTTGCATGTAAACTATTTAGAGGATGTCTTCTGAAAGGTGGAGATATGTTAGCTCATTTGAACTTCATGAAAAGAACTTTTCAAGAGCTACATGAAAAGGAACTGATATTTTCAGAGCTGCATCAAGTTTACATCATTCTTTCCTCATTGGATGAAAGTTATGATGATTATGTATCTTCACTGGAAGTCCTGACCAGAGATAAACTGACATTGGCTGACATAACCAGAAGGTTGTTAGAAGAAGCAAGAAGACGACTGGATAGGGACCAACTGAGAAAGGAACAACCACAAGAAGAGGATTTGTCTTCAACGACCTATACTGTTAGGAAATGTTTTTCTTGTGGGGCTAGAGGACATATAGCTAGATTCTGTAAGAAGGGAAAATGACAGAATACTGGTAATCACCAGAAGGCTAAGAAGAATGTTAGTTTAGCAATGTCTAGCAATTCAACTGTAAACCATGATTTGTGGGAGCATCGCAGTGCATTACTAAAGATAGAAAGAGGTTTGTAAAGATGTCTACAAGTAAGCAACATGTATCATTGTCAAATGGATGGAAGATGAAAGCTTCTGGTGAAGGTACTGCATATTGTTCTTGTGTAAACGAGCATTTAACTATGTTATATGTACCTAAATTGAAATTTAATTTGCTATCAGTAAGGGCTTTAGTTAATCTTGGTTATGTAGTAACCTTTAGGGGAACTAACTGTATAATAGAGAAAGATGGTCCGGTTTCTGCAATCTCATGAAAAACAAAACAGAAACATTCCAACATTTCTTTAGCTGGCTAAGATTTGCTGAAAGAAAAATGAGGAGTAAAGTAATTACTTTAGTTACTGATAATGGGACTGAGTTTATTAACAAGAGATTCCAAACTATGTTGAAATTGGCTGGTATCGAGCATAAACGTTCTTCACCTTACAGACCACAACATAACTCGTTTGTAGAACAAAGAGGGAAAATGTTACATGCCATGGCTCGTACTATGTTATCTGATTCAGGTTTGTCTGAAACACTGTGGGGTGAGGCCCCACAGTGTGTAGTAACCATGTGTTAAACAATGTAGTTAACACAACAACTGGAGAATTGCCATTCACTCATTGGCATGGCTAAATAATATTGTCTCTTTAAGAGAATGCTAAAACTGTAATTGGGTGTGGTTCCTCAAATGGCCATAAAATGGAGCCAGAAACCTGGCTTGTTCTTCTGTTCTGTTTTTCTGGAGAGTGTTGCCTTCCTGTATTGACTGTTATTCTTGGATTTGATGTAAGTCTGTTACTGAACTGTTTTTGATACTGGACTTTGATATTTGGATTATCCCTGGACTGAAAACTGATTACTTTAACCGTGAATGACTTGGACTGCTTGCTTAAATGTTTATTGGAAGTAAAAACCTACATTTTACTATGCAGTGTATCTGTGTGCTAGTTGTGTGTTATTCTTCACTACTCTCACTACGTCTCCCTGTGTGCGCTCATTCTCCTAACGGGGAATTACCTCAACACTAGATGTCTTTATGAAATATTTAGGTCCTTTCAAAGTGATATTGTAGATGTGCTGAATTTGCATGTAAATAATATGTAAAATATCCATATTATGATTCCATTGTTAAGTATAAATTTTAAAAACTCATGTATAAACAAGGCCCACACATACCAGACAGCATCCACTTTTACACCATACTTGTTATATAGTTTCATGTTTAATGCAGTTGTAGGTAAACCTACATTCTTCCTGCATCATTTGCTTGCTGTTTTTTTGTTGCATGCCTATTTTGACTTTTTCAGAGACCTTAATGTGGCTATGCATAGAAGTGTCCTCCTTAATAATCTTGTGAAGAAAGTTATGTAGAAAGAGAATTTCTGGTCCAAAGTCACTCAATAAACAATGTAGTCAAGTGGGAATTGAACCTGGGTCTCTCTAGTTCAGGAAAAAACATGTTAACCATTGCAACCACTGTGCCAATCCTGGAGAACTAATAATCAAACCCATAAATCATGTTAATATTCTTTCAATTTTTAACCAAAAAAATCCACAAAAAGTTTTTAGACATTAATAAATGTCATTGAGTTTTTCCCTAATAAAAAAACCTCAATTTTGTATTTCTGCAGATTTTGTTAACTTCATTCAGAAGATAATAGGAATATCTTTAACCATTCATTCTTTGTGGGTATTTCAGAATCTTTCCAGATTTGTACATTTAATAATCTACCAAACTCCCTACCTTTCTAACTTCTCTGGTTCAGTTACTTTGATCTGGATGGCACCAGCATCCAGAGAGCTAGGGGCTGACTGCCTCATCAACAACTCCTGACTTTATATCAGCCTTGCAAGTAGTTCAGACAAGCAGCACACCAATACTAACTCTGACTTTATTGTACTGTGACATTAACAAAATCTTACAATTCTCACCCATCCATCACCTTTACAGTCCAAGATACTAGGGAATGACCTTATTTGCCTAAGGTCATTCCCTCATACTGTAATATTACATTGGAGTTGGACAGCTAATAAATTCAAATAATATAATAATTGATGGGTCCTTGGTGCTCTCTGAGCTTGGTTGTTTTCTTGCAAATGTTTCATTACCCAAACATTATTAATTCTAGTACTACCATAATATCAACTCCTGAGGTACAAATATTTCCCTTGAAAATAATAATTCAAATCAACAACTATATTTCAGTAGATATTTGTTAGAGTTTATTTTGATGGGAAGTAAAATATCCACTACTGTAAGACTGCAAGAGGTATACAATTTTGCAGGGATCCCTCTCCTGGGAATAAGTTCAAGGAAAATACCTTCTTGGAATTCAATCAGTCTTTTGTTTAAAAAGTAGATTAATGACACTTTTGTTTCCTTTGTACTGCTTCTTAGTTCATAGTTTATACAGAAAATTCATCGATGCATTTATAATTTGGGATTAAAAAAAACTTCATCCAGAATCATGCTGGGGAATGTGTTATCTGTGAGATGTTTTTATATATTTGTATTTATATGTAATGACCAAAATATTTTTAAATATATATATTTAATTTTTCATGTAGATCCTGCTGGAGGTCAACTTGATTGCCAGTATTGTTTTGATGGTTTCTGTTATCCAAATGACCTTCCCTGTTCTGATTATTTTGTTCCATATGGATACTGTGAATTTAACCACCAGTGCTGTGCCAAGTAAGTCCCAGTATAACCCAGCTGTCTTCCATGCCTAAGGAATGGCTGGATCTCTTTACTCATAGTCCAACACTTCAACTACTTCCCAGAGTACAGAATACAGACCTTATGGATCAGAACAACACTTTTATTTGGCAGTTGGCATTTACAGGTTCCAATCTCAATTTTAGTCTGTGTTTTGAATTTAGTTTATGGTTATTTCAATTCAGGCATCAATATTCAATATGTAGTAATAAAAGGAATCCATATTAATTTATGTGCTATAATATACATGGAAAACTACTTTTAATTGCCTATATACTTCATTTACATCTGATTAGCATTAAAGATATACCATTGAAATCTGTGCTTTTCCTGCCTCCTTAGTCTTGGACACAATAGGGACACAACAGATCACTGTCTATCAGATTAATGGACATATTGGAATATGACTTGTTCTATCTTATAAAATTCTATAAGGTACAAGAGCTTGCCTGTGTAATTTTCTGTTAGTAGGCTACATGCTATTGTAAAAAAGGTATGTGATAGTGTGTACATTATTCAGATCAAAGGGCTACAAGCTCTTTTGAAAAACAACAGGTCTTCAAAGACCTCCATTGTTGATCCTTAACATTTTATTTTCCTCTTAATAATTTCATGACAATTTAAAAAATCCACTTATGTATCAACCTACAATCAAACATCAATTATACATTTAATTAACATATAATTTAATCTTTTGTGGGCGGTGGAAGTGGCTCAGCAGTAAAGACACTGGGCTTGTTGCCTGGAAAGTTACCCATCCTCCCTTGTGGCAGCCCCTAATCTGATTCAAGATGGATCTAGGGCTGACAGCAGCCCAGGTTTGAGACCTGAGCAGTGAGCTCCCATCCTTGCCCCAACTCCTTTCAACCTAGCAGTTTGAAAGTATGAAAATGTGAATACATAAATAGATAAATAGCTAAATTGGTAGCATTTTGGAGGGAAGCCAATAGAGTTCTGTGACATCATGCTTGACAGATGACCATGGAAATTCCAGTACTAGCTCAATGGCCTTGAACCAGACATGAGCACTACCCCTATAGTCAGCAGAATTAGTGGAGTAACATCCACAAGGACTCCTTTACTTTTACCTAATCTTTTATGCCTACAAAATATTTTTCAACTTGAAATAATGTATTTCTTTTCTAATATACAGAGCAAGATGGCTTTCAGAGTGTGAATATGCAACTTTACCAGCTGAAAGTTTTTCTGGAAACAACAACTTTACACATATTTTATGATGAAACCAGGGGTGGGATCTGGCAGGGTTAACTACCGGTTCAGTGATTTACAAGGCTCGGTGATTTACTATGTACTTCCCTGCATGCTGCACGTGCCTGTAAATCGTCATCAGTCTGGTTTGGTTTAATTTACTTAGAAGAGTGTCTGGAATGATGGTATTGAATGCTGAACTGAAGTCTAGAAAGATGACACTTGCATAGGTATTTGGAGATTCAAGGTGTTGTAGGATGTAATGCAGAGCCATGTTAACAGCATCATCTGTCGATCTGTTTGCTTGGTATGCAAACTGCATGGGATCCAACAGCAGATCTGTGATGGTTTTCAGTTGGGACAGCACAAGTCTTTCAAAGATTTTCATAACTACAGATGTTAGAGCAACTGGTCTGTAGTCATTCAGTTCCTTGATGGAGGGCTTCTTTGCCACTGGGATGATGGTAGAACATTTGAAGCAGGAAGGAACATAGCACATCTCTAGTGATCTATTGAAGATTTGGGTGAAGATTTAATTAAGCAAAAATGATGGTGTTATGTCATATTTCTACTTTTAAGACCAAAACAGAATTATTTTCTCATATTCAGTGAAATCTATATAATTGCCATCTTTTGGAAAAAATCAACATTCTTCTACAAACCCATTTAGTTGGAGATAATTTAAATCTAGTTGACAAGGCAAATGGGATCCCTTCTAGTAGTCGATAAATCAGTAAGTTGAAATAATCAAATAATGTCATGAAACTGTGGACAATTTTTTTTCAATGGGGACTTGCCCTTTCCTGATTCCAGGAGATATTCTTTTTTCTGTTTCTCATTTTAAGACTTTAACTTTCAATTTTAATTTTCCTCAGAATTTACTGACAATTTAATTTCCTTAATTTGGAAAACAATTGTCTGCTTTCAATTTTTCACTGAGGAAATCCTATTCTTTCTCTTTGTTGTTATTGAACATCAGGATTCCATCCAAATGAATTATGGGTCATTAAATACGTAGTGAGGGATCTAGAAATATAAATGTGGCTGTGGCAAAAGATATGGAGTTGTCAATGGTGATAGCAAAGTGGGACATAGCATATACAGAAAAGAAATTTTGAATGATTACTATCCAAATTCTGGAGACGCTTGACTGATTAACATAGTTACCTATCAAAAGTAGGAAATACCATGACAAATCAGCTACAGCTAACTAGTGGAACAGATGAAAGCTATATTGGGGCATTCCATTGATTATTTATCCAATAAGTACCTAAGGATGGGAGTTAAACATCAGTCTTTGAACAACACCTTCTTCTGAAACGACAAGGCACATCCAGGAGGACACCTGAAGGACAGGTCTCATTGGGTTGTAGAATGCAGAATCCACCCATTGATGCACAAGTAAGTAGAATGGCTTCTAGAAAGTGATCTTCTGTAAAAAGAAAATGTTTATCAAAGCTCTGAAATCTCTTCACATTATCCTTTCAGCATTATTACTACACAAGCAATTCAATCCTTAGGCAAGATAGGCAAGATGGTGCAGCATATGTATGCTGCACCATCTATATAACACAAAAGGGCATGAGCTGTATGGCTGAGCTGGGAGTCGTGCAATACAGGTAGTCCTTGACTTAAAGTAGTTCATTAAGTGGCCATTCAAAGTTACAACAGCACTAAAAAAGTGACTTGAAACCGTTTTTCACACTTATGACCATTGTAGCATCTCTGTGGTCCCATGATCAAAATGGATAACTGACTCGTAATCAAGATGGCTACAGTGTTGTGGTGTCATGTGATCACCTTTTGCGACCTTCTGAAAGCAAAGTCAATGGGGAAGCCAGATTCACTGAACAACCCTGATACTGACTTAACAGCTGCAATGATTCACTTAACAAGAAAGGCAAGAAAGATTGTAAAATGGGGTGAAAATTCACTTAACTGTCTTGCTTAACAACAGACATTTTGGGCTTAATTCTGGTCATAGGTTGAGAACTACCTACACAGACATTTGTCCAATAAAGAAATGCCTAGAACCTTATAAAATAGCAGGCATGTTGCTTAAAAACATAACTTATACAAGCTTTTCCGAAGCCAGCAACACTGAGGTCAAAATATTATGCTTTCACCTAAAGTATGTGGGAGAAACAGCCAGACAAAAATGTATATAATGCAGTGGTGGCTAGCTATCAACAGTCCTGGGAGTCCTTTCAAACTATAGTTTTACTTTGACTTCCCAGCCTCACATATGATAAATGTGATAATGAAATTGGTATGCATCAGGACAAAGGGGACTATCTGTCCAGACAAATTTATTTTTCTTACAAAAATAAAATCCAAGCTCAATTTTTCATGGGGACAGATGGCTAACAGAGTAAAGAATATCAATGAAAAAGCTTCTCTGAAAGTTCCTTGTGTCAATATACTATTATTCTTTACAAACAAATCAAATACAAATTCAGTTTTTAAAAACTTGTTTTTCTTTCTATTATATGGTTGTAAGGTTTTTTTCTTATGCTTTTACATAATGAAGACTTAGTTTAGCAGCAAATAAAATTTACATATAGAAAACATTATGTATAGAAATATGATTATATATCGGTCAGCATAAAATAAAAGTACATACAATAAAACATGCAAGCTGAACATTTCTCTAACTCATTCCTTAACCTCTAATCTATGAGCCAATCTACTAAACTACTTTTCCAAGTTTAAACTCAAGCAAAATTAATGATCTCTTGAAACTAGTGATTGGACTCAATATTAATATAGTATTCTCATCAAAGTATTTATGACAACAAGATGTTCTTCGTGCTGTATATTATTCAATCATCACTCACCCTGAGCAGCATGGAAGAAGAAAAAAATTACAGCAGTGAAACAGTATGAAATGTTCATGGCTGCAAATTGGCTGCTGTTTCTGTATTCCTGAAGTGAAAAGACACTGTGAAGAAAAGGGTCTGCATAAGGAAAAGAAGTGATGTCACCTGAGCATTATTAATTCATGCCATGTGAGTTGCAAGCTGCAGAAATCTCTTAGGTTGAAACCAGAAAATTGGTAGTAATACAGCACAAAGGCAGTTTTGGGTTACCTGTCGCATATATTTTTGTACTCTCTCTTACTTCAAAAAGCATATGGTGCTGGTAACACAATAGTAGTGTGTTGAGAATGGCAAAAATGAGGCATTTAAAAATTTAAAATGGATTTAATTTATTATCTTTCCTGTTGCTGATCTGCCCTTTGAAATAACATGTTCCCCTGAGATTCCAATTATACCAACCCTAACAGGGAAGCATTGAAAACTAGTTGCTTCCTGCCAAGCAGCCTGATCCTTAGCAGGATACAGTTTTAGTTCATTATAGTTATTTGGAACTGTATTCACTTGGGATACAACACTAGCCTGATATCTATCAGGTGGTTGTGTTACACGGGTTGAACATCTTGGTAATACAGGGCTAACTGGTGGACTCACCTGTGCCATCTGCTCCTGTTCTTCTACCTCCTCTTGTGCCTGTTCTACTACTTCCTCCTGTTCTTCCTCTTTAATGGCTATTCGTGGTTTACTTATTTCATTTTTAGGTACTACTTTGGTGTCAATAATAACATCATTGCTGGATTTCTGTTCCATCTTATTCCACCCAACGAGCTCAAGAAATTTTGCACTAGCTCTACAATAAACATGAGCTGTGCCTTGATCCCAGAATCTAAACGATATATGGTTGGCCTCATAACCTACAAAAAATAACTTCTTAGCTCTATGTTGCCCTTTCAGTCTTACTTGTGAGGGTATATGCACCCATGCTGGAGCTCCAAATGTGTGTAGGTAACTTAAATTTGGTTTTCTGCCATGCCAACGAGTGAATGGAAATTCACCAGTTGTTGTGTTAACTACATTGTTTAACACATGGTTGCTACACATTATGGCTTCACCCCACAGTGTTTCAGGCAAACCTGAATCAGATAACATAGTGCAAGCCATGGCTTGTAACGTTTTCCCTCTTTGTTCTACAAACGAGTTATGTTGTGGTTTGTAAGGTGCAGAATGTTTATGCTCAATACCAGCCAATTTCAACATAGTTTGGAATCTCTTGTTAATAAACTCAGTCCCGTTATCAGTAACTAAAGTAATTACTTTACTCCTCATTTTTCTCTCAGCAAACCTTAGCCAGTTAAAGAAAAGTTGAATTGTTTCTGTTTTGTTTTTCATGAGATAGCAGAAACCGTATCGTGAGTAATGGTCCATAATACTCAAAATATAGCAGGCACCTTCTAAACTAGGTTTCTTTGGACCAATTATGTCTGCAAAAACAACCTCTAAAGGTTCTTTGGTCTTAAATCCATTAAGTCTGTTTGCAGGAGTAACCTTACTTTTCTCCTGACTGCAAGCATTACAGTTTAAATACTTGCTACAGGGTGTCAATTTTACTCCCTCTGACAATTCAATAGTTTGTTTCAGCATTTTGAAATTAATGTGCCCAAAACGTCTATGTAGTAAATGTATACATTTCATCACGTGGCTTAACATTGTTATAAACTGAGTTAGCCATCTGTAACTGGTCATCATGTATCACATATAAATCATTTTTTAAAGTAGCAGCAACACTTTTATCCTCTTTCTCTATTATACAGTTATCTCCCCTAAAGATTACTACATAACCAATATTAACTAAAGCCCTTACTGATAATAAATTAAATTTCAGTTTACGTACATATAACATAGTTAAACGCTCGTTTACACAAGAACAATATGCAGTACCTTCACCAGAGGTGTTCATCTTCCATCCATTTGCCAATGATACATGTTGCTTACTCGTAGACATCTTTACAAACCTCTTTCTATCTTTAGTAAAGCACTGTGATGCACATAGCACATCTCTAGTGATCTATTGAAGATTCGGGTGAAGATGGGGGCCAATTGGTCAGCACAGACTTTTAAGCAAGAAGGAGTTATCTTATCTGGCCCTGGTGCTTTTCCTGGCTTCTGTCTGTGTAATAGATCTTGCACTTCTTTTTCTGTGATCACCAGAGGTTGTGAGCCCAATGGATGGGGACCAGTTGTAGGAGGCTTGGCTGTTGTTGGTGTGTTTGAGATGTGGGTTGTGGAGATAGGTGGCTGTAGTTTCTTTTCAAACCTGCAGTAAAACACATTCAGGTCATCTGCTAGTTGTTGATTTCCTTCTGCCTAGGAAGGAGGTTTTCTGAAGCCAGTGATGTTTTTAAGAGTTTTCCACATGTTTGCTGGTTCATTTGTTGAGAATTGATTCTTTAACTTTTCAGAGTAGCTTCTTTTTGCTGCTCTGATCTCTCTTGTTAATATGTTTCTGGCCTGGTTGTATAGCATTCTGTCATCTTTTCTGTAGGCTTCCTCTTTGGAACGACGTAGCTGCTTAAGTTTAGCTGTGAACCAAGGTTTATTGTTACTATATATTTGCAGGTTCCTTGTTGGTACACATAAGTCTTCACAGAAGCTAACATGTGATGTTACAGTATCTGTGAGCTCATCTAGGTCTGCAGAGGCATCTTCAAAAACATTCCAATCAGTGCAATCAAGGCAGGCCTGGAGTTTCAGCTTTGCCTCATCTGACCAAGTCTGATTTAATTGTTGGTTTAATGGTTTTAAGTCTTTGTCTGTAGTCAGGTACAAGGTGAATTATGCAGTGGTCAGAGTGTCCCACAGCTGCTTGTGGTAAAGACCTATAAGTATCTTTTACTGTTGTGTAGCAGTGGTCTAAAGTATTTTTGCCTCTGGTGGGACAATTTACTTGCTGGAAACATTTTGGGAGCTCTTTCCTTATATTTGCTTGATTGATATCTCCTAAAATGATGGGAAGGGAACCTGGGTGTTTGGTTTCAGCCGCCATAATTTGATCAGCAAGAGTTTGCAATGCCTTGTTTACACAGGCTTGTGGAGGAACATACACAGCTATTAGGAGAAATGAGGAGAACTCACATGGAGAGTAAAATGGCTTGCAGTTGATGTGTAAAGACTCTAAGTGTTCATCACAAAACTTATATATTATAGTTATATCCTGAGACCAGCTGTTGTTGATATATAACCATAATCCTCCACCCTTTGTTTTACCTGATGTCTCTTCAATTCTGTCTGATCTAAATATCTGAAATCCTGGGATGTATATGGTATTGTCCCAATGAATTTGTGGATTAAGCCAGGTTTCAGTAAAACAAAGAACAGCTGAATTATGAAAATCAGAATTCCATCTATTTAAGAGATGAATTTCATCCATTTTGTTAGCCAGTGAGCGTAAATTAGTCAGAAAGATTGAAGGGAGAGGGTTCCCCCCTCCATTCCTTAGTCTGTTTAAAATTCCCGCTCATTTGCCTCATCTCCTCTTCCAGCGTGGTCACTTCTTTGCTTTCTTTGTTGTAATCCATAGTGCAGGGGAATTGGTTAGAATCTCCTCCGTGTTTGCAAGGACAGGTGGGGGTGGGGAATCAGAAAGCTGCTCCTTAAGGAAACATTGCCTAATTCTTAGCAGATGGTCTCGTGAGTATGAAATCCGTAGTGAATTGCAGATAATAATAAGGAATAAAGAAACCATTAGAGAGCATTTCACCAAGACAGACGTCATCGGCACCTTCTACTCCTACTTCTTTGCATTATGATTAATGACAAAAATAGCAAAGAAGGAACTTTTTACCATTTATGGTGGACATGTGACAAAGCAAAGAAATTTTGGAGTAAGGTTCATATTATAATACAGAAAATTCTTAAAGCTAAAATAAAAATGAAACCAGAAATTTTTGGGGGATTTAATGGAAAAAGACTTGGAAAGAAAAAAATTATCTTTGATTTTATATATCTTGAGAACAGCAAGACTATTATACACACAAAAATGGAAAGACAGTTCAATTCCCACTATTGACAAATGGCTACAGAAGCTGATGGAGTTAGTAGAAATGGCTAAATTGACCATTTGGATTAAAGAAAAGAATATAGGTACCCTTGTTTCCACATGGAGACCATGTTGAGGTGGAAAAAACTGAAACTCTGATTTTGGGTTTTACTGGTTAGATTGATGCATTTTTATAGAAATGGCTAGTTTATATTATTATGGAAAAACAAAAAGTTTTGGTTTCATGTTAATGATTTTTTACTGCAACAGAGGGAGTCAGAAATCAATGTTTCTTCTTTTCTCTTCCCCAGTTTCTCCTCACTTTTCTCTCCCCCTCCCCACCCCACTGTGTCTTCCTATTTACTTTTGTATTTTATATTTTATCTTATAACCTAATAAAAATGTCAAACTGGAAAAAGAAATACCTTATGCAAGATCCGTTAAAGCCACATATTTCATATTTTCCAATTGTTCAACATTTCAGAACAGTAATTTATCGCACATTGTCACTCCATTCCACCCACAGTTTTTTTTATTTAAATTTTTTCTTTATTAAACAAATAAACAAATACAAAGACACACAAATCTTACAATAAAAAAAGTTGAACATGGTACAGTTTCCCTAACATCAATCATTGTCATTACATCACTAAATCCAATAGTAAGATTACTTAATTTCCATCTATACACTTTGAATATATGTATATTCATTCCTTATTCTCATGGATCTTTCTCGTCTCTAGCCAACCATAAAATTTATCCCATGTTCCATTCCACCCATAGTTTGATATGGACAGTAAAGAGGCAATAAATCCATGGATCACCGTAGAAAATTTTATCTTCAGTGTTAATGGAAAGGAAGTCCATACTCTCATCATTTTTTTCTTCCTCCAAATGCTTCCTTCTTTTCTAATAGAGAAGGAATTCCTGGTTCCTATTATATCATGCCAGCAATATCTGAAAACATTTCAGACTTCCTTTCTATTCTTCAGTGTTTCAAGTGTACTCTAACCATTGTCACAGTGCTTCCTTTCAGAGGCAGAAACTGGGATTTATGGGGTGAGAAATTGGTATATTTTGTATGTCTCTCTCTATGTTTGTGTATGTTTGGTTCTCAATGAGATACAGCTCTAGAGTCAGAAAGCAAAGGACTTGAGGATGGGGAATGTATGGAAATTCAGTCCTGAGTCTAAAAATTGTGGGAATATTGGAACCAGCATGTTTAGATTGGCAGCAAACATTGATTTAACCATGCAAGAAATTCTTTGTTTCATTTCAGTCACCTTACTCAGTTGTGGTTAGTTTGATCAACATTCCAAACCACTCTGTTTATTCATTCGTTTAGAAATAATCAGTGGCTACCTTTGATATGCAGATCTCAAGCTCAGATAACTGTTTATAGTTAAAGTACTATTTCACATTTTTATTTTGGTATCTTTATTATATTTTAATCCATTTTTCTTATTCTATTGTTTGGTGTGCACGCAAGCACCAGTCATTCTGAAAAGTCCTTTAGTCTGAAATTCATGATAAAAGGAGAAACTAGATCCATCCAATTAAAATCTTATAACTAAGGAAGTGGGATTTCTCATTTGGCTCTTCCAGGAGAGGGGAACATCTCTCCATTGAAGAATGGATCTCAGCAAGTAACCCCCCATCCCACAGTTGGAAGCCTTTCTCTTAGGGATGCTGCCCCTCCCCCCATTCACAGAAAATTGGGTAGAAAAATGTGATAGTGGAAATCCCAGAGAGGTCTGAAAGGCTGGGTGTATGGTGTGAATCCCCTTTCCACACACCCCTTTCCAATTCTGCAAAAGAAGTTTCATTCAGTAAAAACATGAAGAAAGATGATTGAAGTCTCCAAATGCTCTGCATTTTTAAGGAAACCATTTCATTTGCTTTCCTCTGAAAGAAAACAAATCTGATTTAGTTATTCTTCATGGTGGACTTTGTGCTGAAATTTTCAGCTTTAAAATGTATTAAAATGTGTGTGTGTGTATACACACACACACACACACATACACACATACATACATGAAAGTTGCAAAGAATAGAATATTTTCCTCTATGTAGGAATGGCATTAGTAGGAATCTCTGTATTTTAATTTTTAGAAATTGAATACAGATTGCCACTAGAAAAGAGGTATTAAAGTTTCCTTAAGCCTTGCCAAAAACCCACACTTCTGACATCCCAGCAAAAGAGGCATCTACTCATTCAGTGAAGTTATCTAAACTAAAGAGGCTTTGCAAGTTTGATGTCTGATGTGACAGGGTTTAAATCTGCATGGAAGGCAGTGCTCATCTAATGGACATTTAAAGGCTTGCTTCTCTTACAAGGACTTTGTGGAGGCTGCTCCAAGAAAGTGATGCTTATTTTAGCCATTGGCATGATGAATTTGGTACTGAAGAAGTATAAGTTTATAAGGAGAACTGGCATGGACACAAGGTGGAATGATTTGCCTTATCCGAATTATGAGACAAAATGAAATAAATATTAGGAATATTTCAGTTTCAGCATCTTAATCTAGGCAGCAAAACTGGGTGCCCTTACAGATTCCTATGTTCTTGCGAATTTCAGAATTCATGTCTTTTGGCAAATTCCTTTATTTTCAGTATATGTTTTTGGATGCATTATAATGCGTGCTTTCCCTTGGAGATGGAAGAGAAAGAGAAACTGATCATACACTAAAACAACCCTTTTCAGAATTTGTAGATCTGTATTCCTAGAAGAAGTATACATGTAGTCCTCAAGTTATGACCACAAGTGAGCCCAAAATTTCTGTTGCTAAGTGAGACAGTTATTAAATTAATTTTAAGTTCTTTGTTGCCACAGGTGTTAAGTGAAACACTGCAGTCATTAAGTTTCGTAAACCTGGCTTCCCCATTGTCTTTGCTTGCCAGAAGGTTGCAAAAGAAGATCATGTGACTCCAGGACACTGCAACCATCATAAATATGAGTCAGTTGCCGAGCATCTGAACTGTGATCACAAAATCTTGAGGATTCTGCATCAGTCATGTGTGAAAAATGATCATAAGTCAATTTTTTCAGTGCCATTGTAACTTTGAAAGGTCATTGAAAGAACTGTTTTAAGTTGAGGTCTACCTTTACATATCAAAGTTATGTTTTCAGGAAGAACACTTACAAAAAAGAGTCCCTTAGGAAAAAATGAAGATAATTAAATAAGATAAGTAAATTAATATCCAAATTCCTGAAATTCCATCTAAATAATCTAACGTTCTTATTCAAGTTTTATATAGGAAAAAAAGTGAAGATTTATTTATTTATCTATTTATTTACTTTCTGGTTTAAATGATTTGGGTATTGCTTCCCACTCTTGAAAAGTTTACAGAAAATTTCCGAGAAGGTATTAGATCAAAGCAGTTTATGAAAGCAATCCTAGAATACTGAATCAAGTATGCAAAATAACATTCCTGACTGCTTGTTCAGTTTGGTAGGTCTATATAGATTAAATAAATGTTTTTTCTGAATTGCCTGATGCTTCATCCTGAGCGTTAGTATAAAGATTTCACCAGAATTGACTTACCCTGATCAGAAAAAAATCACCAAGGTGAGGAAAAGTACCGTGTTTCCTCAAAAATAAGATTGGGTCTTATTTTCTTTTGGGCCACAAAGTAGGCACTAGGGCTTATTTTCAGGAAGTGTCTTATTTTTCTTCCATGGACAGGAGGCACACTTCTGCTTGCTCACCACTAGGTGGGGGAGTGGAACTGTCCCAAAGGCTAAGCAGGGCTTACTTCAGGGCCCCACAGCAAGGCCACTCACACATCTCACCTTGTGCTGGTGGCTTCAGCAGCCCATCTCTCTTTTGTTTCTAATAAATTTTGGCTTTTTTTTAAAGTACCAAGCAGCTAAATATAACTTATGAGGAGGTCATGGTTTTGGAAGGATCTGAAACACTACAGAGGGTAATAATCTGGAAAGTACAATATAAGTACCCATAAATCTTGAACAGTAAGATCTGGAACAGAGGCAGTTCCCTTGTAATGGAGATAGAAGTTGCAATTATTATTGTATATTTCTTATAATTATCACTTAAATGAACAAAAGTTCCACACAACTCTCTCTGTGAGAAGGGAGGCTTTGAAATTTGATTAAATAAATAAATAAATGCAACACTCCTGTCTAGTGAAAGATCTGATCTAGGTTTCTTTTGATTAAACAAAATCCCAGTATTAAAAGTCCTAGGTATCTTTTATCCATATTTGAGATTTCACTTCACCATTACAATCTTATGTTAAATCATTTCACACATTAATATTTGTGAGTGAATGAATATCAATGAACATCACCGAAAATTACAATGGAAATGCTCATGAACATTTTTGGGTAGGAAATTCAAAATCATCTGAACAAAAGCATTTTGGTTTCTAAGAAAGCATGATAATTTAAATTTTATTTCTCTCTGGAAATAACTTTGAGAGCCTGTGTGGTATATGTTGGACTCATTCAGCCCAACCAGCCTCAAAGAGTTGCTCCTTTTTAAAAATGAAGGGTAATACACACATAAGGTATTTAAAAATTGAAATTGAAAACTGTGACACTAATATGAAAGACAATATAGCAAATAAACAAAATAATTCATTCTGTATTCAGATCTAACTATACATTGGGACATCATCTTGCATGATCATAAATGCCCCCATCTCACCCACAACAGAGATCATTCAATTCAAGATGGACTCTGAACAACTCAATTTTGAAGGAAAAACAATTTATAAAAAATATGGAAAAAGAACTGGCTTTCTTCTTTAAAGAATACAAGAAAAGGAATATCAAAAAAGACAAGCACAGATCTTAGAAGAGGATTACAAGAAACTGGAGAAAGAACTACAAAGATAACCACAAAAAAATCTTAAAAGTCAAATGGAAATAGTTAAGCATAAAATGGGGCTGATGGAAAAAGAAGATTTGAAGAAAATTAGGACAGCCAAACAGATTTTTTTTGAAAATGCAAATAAACCAGGTAGATAGTTAGCATATAAATTGAAAAAGGAGAGAGAATTGAAAAGGATAGCACAATTAACAAATGAACATGGAATGGTTTGCTATGGGAATGAAGAAAAAAAGAAATAGTACATAAGTATTATGAGAAGTTATATGATCAAGAGAATGTTGAAGAAGGAAAAGTTAAACAATATTTGCAAAAAGCAGAACTACCCAAAATTCCTGATGAAATTAAGATAATGTTAGAAGGGGAAATAACAATGATGGAACTGACAGAAATGAAATACTGGGAAAGCACCGGGCCCAGATGGGCTACCAGCAGAACTTTACAAAACATTGCAGGAATCTTTCAGCACGACAATGCTCGAAGTAATGAATGAAGTCTTGACAAAAACTAAAGTACCTAACTCATGGAAAGAATACCAAAAGAAGATACTGATTTACAACAGATTAAAAACTATAAACTGATATCCCTGTTGAATGCAGATTACAAAATATTTGCCTCAATAATGGCAGAAAGACTTAAAAGGTATTTAACTATTTTATACATACAGATCAAAATGGATCCTTCCCGAAGAGGCAAAGAAAAGACAAAATTGAATACATTGGAATACTATGAAGCACATCGAGAGAAGCAAATGGCCTTGGTGTTCTTAGATGCACAGAAAGATTTTGATAATGTAAATTGGCAATTTATGTTGCTGCAAATGGAAGAGATGGGCTTTGGAGAAAGATTTATTAAAACAATTGAGGCAATGTATTATAAACTATCAGCAAAAGTAATCTAAATGGAGATTTGACAGAAAATATCAATATCAAAAAAGGAACCAGGCAAGGATGTCCTTTGTCGCCATTGTTATTTGTACTGACTCTGGATGTATTAAATAAAAACATTAGTAATAATAAAGAAATAAAGGGAATGAAAATAAAAAAGGAGGAATATAAATTACAGGCATTTGCAGATGATCTGGTCTTTATATTAGAAGAACCATTGGAAACAGCTTCTAAATTGATAGAAAAGACAGAAGAATATGGAGGTTGCAGGATTGAAAATAAATAAAGAAAAAACTAAGATTTTAGTGAAGAACATAATGGAAAAACAAAGTATTGATGGGTAGACTAAATATCCAGATCACAAAAGTGGTGAAATACCTGGGAATACAATTGAGAGTGAGATGTGGAACATTTAAGGAAGACAACTATTATAGACTAAAACAACAGATTGCAACAGACTTGGAAAAATGGAAGAATTTACAACTATCCTTAACAGGGAGAATATCCACAATTAAAATGAATACACTACCAAGGATATTACACTTGTTTCAGAAGATTTCAATAAAATTAGGGAAAGAATACTTTGAGGATTTAAATAAAATGATGTTGAAATATATATGGCAGGGAAAGAAGACAAGAATTAAACTAAAACTGTTACAGGACACTAGAATGAGAGGAGGTTTTGAATTATGCAATTGGGAATTACTGTATATTACCAGGCAGTAATATTGATGTGGATGAAAGAATGGATTGTTTTGAGAAATACTAGACTGTTAATATTGAAAGGTCATGATCTGCAATTGGGCTGGCATGCATTTTTATGGTATAAGGAAATAAAGTATATGGATACCTCCGGAGATATTATATTTGGGATGCTTTATTATCAACATGGGAGAAAATAAGGGAACAACATTATTTGAAAATACCTGTCCGGTTATCAACAATAGAGGCATTTGCATATCCAAATGTTTTTAAAATGGAACATATTGTTAGATATAGTGAAATCTTAAATGAAAAGAGTGAACTCAAAACAAAGCATGAACTAGAAGAAGAAGGGATAAATATGAATTGGTATTCATATATGCAAATACATTCTAGATATGACAAAAATAGTAAGACAGATGGGTTTTATAAAGAATTGACTGAACTAATTAAAATCCTAACAGGTACAGAAGAGAAGATGATTAAAAAAATTTATGGTGGCACTTCCGGTGGTGATGTGGGACCAAAGTGCCACAGAGTGACAGCGCTGCCTCTTGTTGCTGAAATTCAGCAATCCGGTGGCTGTCTGAGGCAAAAATCGGCCCTGGGGGGATCGTTGAGGAAGAGGGGAACCTTTGAAGCTGTAGTGGGAAGGTGCGATCCCTAGCAGTGCGAGTGGAGTTGAAGAGTCAGAGCCGGAGTTGAAGAGTCAGATTCTAATGGCCTCCCCAGAGATCTGACATCCCACAAGAAAGAAAGGGAAGCAAAGAGGGAGAACGGTGTTTCAGAAGCAGTGAGAGTGATGGAGTTCGGTTTTGTGAATGTGCTAAGAAACAGAGAGCCCAGAGAGCGAAAGCAAAAGCTCAAAGTGGCACACGGACAGTGAAATAGCGAGGAGAGTGGAAAGGGAGAGGACAAAAAGGGGTACCAGCAATAGTGAAGAAAGAACAAAGAAGAGGAGAAAGTAATAGACTAATCATTTTCCTTAGGAGGAGGTGAAAGTGATCAGATTGGAAGTGTGGTTGAAATTGCCCGAGTTTTTAAAGGAATAACATTGTTGAGTAGATAAAACAAAGAAGCAGAGATAAAGACTAAGGAAAGAAGAGTGACTGTGACAGTGCACAATTGAAAGAGCCGGACATTTTGAAAGTGGAAAGTAAAAATTAACTCTTTAAGTCTACAGCCTTCAGCACTACAGTAAGATATAAGCAACTGGATTGGAACCTCTAAAGTAATTTTGTTTAAAATCAACTGTCAATTGTGATTATTACATTTAAAAATATTGTGGCTAAGTTTCTTTTTCTTTTTTCTTCTCCCTCTCTTGGTGGTGCTTTATACTTAATGTTAATAACTCATAAACATTTACATTTATATAGATAAATATTGAATAGACTTTAAAGAAGAATATATAATTGGAGAAAAAGAGATCAGTTCTGCAAAATAATTTAAAGAAAATAATATAGTGAACATTAAAGGATTGTAAAAATTGACATATTTAGGACTCTGTTTTTCTTAGCAAAGTATAATTGTCATCAAAGGTGTATTGGGATACTGAACTGTTACTCTATAGAAGCATATTGACTGTTAGAAATAGGAAACTGATTGTATATGTAAACTGCCAATCAACTAACTGTTTAAATATTTAACTATATATCTAACTATTTAAAGTATTAAGTTATAAATATAATAGAACTATATAAGAATAATTAGAAGTAATAGAACAGCTAAACCATTATTACCAGTGTTGCTTTGATTAGTGGGATTGATTCGTAAAATTGCATAGTTTAAGTAAGTAATCTTTGGAATTTAGTGAATTAATTGAGACATAATAAGAGATATAGAGTTGTAGATTGCAAGGTAGAATAAAAACAGAGATAGAAAATAGGGGAACAGAAACTAGAGTTGGTAGAACAGAAAATGAAAGAATGGAATAAAGAAGTGGAAGACTCATTGATCCAGCTGGAAATGGAGAAAGCCTTGTTCTACCTGCGATTTCAGAATGTAGATGAAGAGATGAAGGAGGAAGACTTAACAGCAATAATGGCTGAAATAATTGCAGAGGCTCTCCAAAGAGATAAGAGTAAGATAATCAATGAGTTGGACAAAGTCTACCAGGTTTACATGAACTATGCCAGAAGATTCAGATTGCCAAAGGAAGTCCACATCCGGTTTGTGCGAAAAAAAGTGAGGGATATAATCTACAAAATTACCAGAGATGAGCCTATGTCCTATAAAGGAAAAGAAATCATTACACTAAAGCAAATCCCGAAAAGAGTACATGAACAATGGAAAGAATATTGTTTCTTGGCCACCTGACTTAATAAAAACAACATACTATTCAGATGGATAACACCTGAGGGAATGTTGGTGTTGTGGCAAGGGAAGAAGATCAAGATAGATACCTTGGATAAAGTGCAAGACTTCCACACCCAACTGGTAGGCACAGAAGAATTGGGTAGCAGGAGAGAAGAACTGGAATCAACCAGTCAAGAGGACCAACAATTAGAAAGGAAAGAAAAAGAGCAAGAAGAGGAGGAAAGACCACAAGAAGAGAATAGAGTAAGAACAAGGGCACAAACAGAGGCAAAGAACACCAGGAACTAGGCAGTACCAACAAAGAAAGAAAATGGAAAATAACTTG